GCTGCTGTGCTCATATTCGTTTTTGTCCCTTCTAATGGGTATGGAAAAAAGTTGGTAGATTTCTGCCTGCTTGAGTAGTGCAGGGGTCTAGAAATCAATCCTTCATAATATTGAAAGAGGGTACTCGAATTCATAATATTAGATGACAAGCAGTAAATATTTCAAAAAAAAATTAACTGGAGGGTCAAAAATATTGGCGAAATGATTTTTGAGGATAAACCACTTCGAAAATGATTGCACCCTAGTGGTTTCTTGCAAGCAATTTATGGAGACCGCTTTTCCCAACTATACACGAGCATTTTTTTCACTAGTTTCTTTCAAGAATTCGCATATTTCCTGCCTCTACTCCACAAAATTCAATTTTAGCTTGTTGACGTCCAGAGAAACGGGAAATGAACTTATTAGAATAGAAAGATGCTGGGTAACTAAACAGAGTAAAGCAATAAAGTCACAATAGCACAAGTCTTATTTGACCTTCCTTTTCAAAACATTAAATTTTTCGTTTTCTCCTGTGAAGTCATTTGCCCTGATATGCACCAAGTTCTGATTTCATGAATTTTAACTTTCATCCTTGTTGTGTACGATTTAGGTCTTAACCAAAACTCGAAAGAATTAAATTACTAGAAATGATGCTTTAGTTTCCTTAAAAAGAATAGTTTGCGTTGCTATGACTGAGGAAATGCGGAATGATTAAGTAAATGATGGTGGTAGTATCTTCAAATTGTCAAATCTATCAACATCTGGATTTCGCAAAAAAGAACAGCAAGTCTCCAAAAGGTCCTCAAAACCATTATAAAATTCTCTAAATTATCAAAAAAATCTTGGAAGTTTTCAATAAATTCACCTTAATTAAATTCTTTTTTGGCAATGGCAACAAGAATAATAGCACGCATATAATTATCTTAAAATCAATTCATTTTTAATATTTCCAGATGTAGTCCAATCAATTTAATACTCATAAGTAATATGTGATGTTACATAAAATTATTGTGGATATTTGAATTTAAAAATATTAGAAACTGCGAATTGTGAAATGTTTGAAAGTGATTGGTTGGTGCGACACGCACTCTCTGATTGGAAATTTAGATCAGGCGGAATTTAGTGGGTAGCTCGCCCACTCAGTTATACGGCCGCACTAATGCATACCCATGGTTCTACAGGCTATCCGGTTACAAAACTACACTAACACATTCACATACATAAACGCATTGAAGGACTAATGAGTTAAGACAACTTCGTCTATTCATGTGTGAGGCATGAGTACAAATACAACCATACAGTACGACCTTCCAAGGCTCTTAAAATGTTCTATAGGTGTCGCGTTCACTCTTGGTATACTTGTTGAAGGTTTGATAATATTTGTTGCACTTATCAGGTCTAAAAAGTACCTGGCTAGACCAACCCTCATTTTTCTACTCAATCTTGCTGCAGTTGATTTGCTCACTGGGATTTTTATCGTCCCCCCACTCACTGTGACCGAAGTATCTGCTCATTCTAGAATTTTTAACCGATTCTTCTATCTTTATTGGTTAACCATCGGTGGATTACTATTGAACGCTCGAATACTCGCTCTTCTATTCGTCGCGTTGGACAGATATCTTGCCATCTGCCATCCCATCCGCTATTCAAATCTCCTCACCTTTTCAAGAGCTCGGCTGGGCTTGATCCTTGCTTGGGGACTAGCCCTAGCTTTACTCCTGCCTCAATTGGCGATTTTCTCAACAGAACTTGTTGGATTACCAAGAAATGTGACTGAGGCGCCAATACAGCCTTATGACTGGTTCTACACTACCTCATCCGCTTTGCGTGGAATACTCGTCTTCATGTTCTTCATCCGATTTGTGTTTCCAATAACTGTAGCATTTGTAATTGATGTTCTCGCACTTCGGATAGTAATCGAATCAAGCTCTGGTTTCCGGCAGGGTGTACTACGAGTTAAAGAATCGGATGCTGATAAGAAAAACGTTGAAAAACACAACATGCGTCCATATAACTCGCATCGCCTTAAAGCGATTAGGAATAAAGGGCCCATCCTAATGCGGATTCATCGTGGAAACTATATGACCGAAGGAACAAAAGAATTATTTGCACAACTACCGGGTACAAATAGATCACTTGGTCGAAGAACAGCCGTATTGCCAAACCTTAGTCTTACATCAACAACACATTCCTCCGAATCGGATTCCAAATCACTTTCTAATAATAACGCAGAAACAATTCGACCCGAACCCCAAGGCGGTGATAAGGAAAGAACGGCAGAAGCACCAGTACGGAAAGCCGTTATATCATTCCCTGATAGTGACAAGACTCTTGAATGTGAAAGTGCAAATCAGGAGTCCCAGTCTCATAGGAGAATAGCTTGGTGGCGATCATCACAAGCGGTATCAAGATTCAAATTGCATCGGAAGAAGCTAAAAGATCTTGGATCATTGATTCCCTTTACCATTCTCCTTGCTGTGTTTGTTCTCTTTAGCCTTCCATACCAGTGTCTACATGTTCTCAAAGCTCTTTGGAGCAAGTTTTCACTACCCAGTGAAGTAATCGCTCACCTCTACTGGTTAGCTTGCGCAAATGCTCTTGTGAACCCTGTGATATTAACCTTCTGGTCTTCTGCTTGTCGAGCTAAGGTTTTGCATCTTATCACCTGTGGAAGATTTCACCATAAACAAGCTGCCATTAAGAGGCTGATCATTGCCAGTTTTGGAACTGCCAATCTTCCTTACGGACGTCAAGTGCATCCCCAGATGAACAGTGAATAAGTAAGCACGTCAAAATTATTGTGATTATTTTCTGAAACCTACAATTCCTTGTTCTCACTACAATTCACAACACATGCGTCCTTTATACGTTGCTGGCGTTGACCTGGGACAGTAAAAAATAAATCAATTTCAACGCTTGGATGTGAATAAATGAAACATGCAGTTACTCAGCGTAATATTCCCATCAAAATTTAACTTATTCCGGTGCCGTAGAGTTTTGCAAAATGGCATATTTTGAAGTAGAATTTCATGTGTCCTTCTCGTTTCAAAATATGATTTGTAAGTCCAATAATTCATTGTCATCATGGTTTACAGTTAATGGGCATTTTCTCATTTAACTGTGTCGAGATGGAATGATTACGATTTTCACACAAAGTTTGATAAATTCGACTAATTTATCAGAAAACCTCCCTCTCCCCTTTATTATTGACGAGGGGAATTTGAATGAACAATATCATTGTAGTCTGATAGATTACTGTTGAGTCTAAGTTGCATTTAACGAATACTTCGGATTAAATAAATATATAAATCGAATCAGTTGACATTAATTCCATTAAATTTAAAACAATTTTAATAATTTAAAATTTTTTGTCAGTAAAATAATAATAAAACATTTACATTTTGGTATCAGATGCGGTTTTGTGTATAAAATTAAGCAAATTACTCGCTTAGAGCATGTAAACGGAAGTAAGTCTATTTTTAATGAAATTATTGTCTTGGACTATCTGATAGTCTAACTTACTCAAATGTGACAATTATTGCTTTTCGTTTAATTAATAATTAAAAATATAAACCCTACTAAATTCAAGCCCTATTTCGTTTAAAAAATTATATTTTATTTAAATATTAATTTCGTAAATGTCAAAATAACTCCCTTATATTTCAACATTATTTAATATATTTATTGAGAACTAACTTGTTTAATGTCAGTTTTAAATTGACCAAATACCAGATTAGTTTTTTTATACATTTTATTGCACTTATGTAGGTGTGCTGGAAGCAAGTATTTTTTTAATTACCGCAATCTGCACCAGTGCTGAAGGAAAGTTTAAAATTTGGTTCTGGACAAGAAGAACTGCTGTCATTTAAAAAGGAAAATGAATTTACAATTTATTGAGAGCTTATTTGGCCAATTACTGATACACTTCCATGAATTATGTCAATGCCATTCGGGTGAGGCAAAATATTCATAAGTTTTACTTGTACAAAGGCAAAGTTAGGGATTGGTATATATATTAAAGTCAAGGCCTTCGACTGTCTGATTATTTCCTCATGGTTCTGTTTCAATGTCTTGTTGTCCTAATATTCCATCAATAATTTGGGTGAGTTTTCGACGGTGTCTGGGTGAATGTAGATCCACACAGTTTTCAGCTCATAGACAGTCTCCAAGTGGAATGATACAGAGCCAGGAGTGATAATTTTACATAAATTAAATTAAAATACATAGTCAGTTTTTGGGAAAAGTTTTCTAAATTATTCATGAGAAAAATTGGATTCATCTGAAGATCCGTTCCGCTAAAAATATAAAAATCCCATAGCATTTCATAAATTAAGGATATTTTTAATTCATTTAATTGAAATAAAAAATATACTTCAACACGTTCAATCTTATTTTTCTTTCAAGTCAAAAGTGCGTTCGAGATGAATGCATTTGTTTGAATGGATGACGAGACCGCCTCTGTGTTAAAACATTTGAATAATTATATTAGATCAAAATTTAATCATCTGACTTTGGCATTCCTTTCTTGGATTTTAGAAGTTCAGAACAAATGAGAAGCGAGGACCAAAATTGAAGAAATTCTCGAGATCATTCAAACAACTTCTTTCTTACAAGTTGCACAAACGGATAGACTGATTACATACCGGTTATTTGTTTTATTTGTGCAAAAATATATGTACACACATGTTTACTGGATTTGAATGATTAAATCAACCAACAATATTTCGAAGGCTGCTTTTAATATTGAATAAATTACTTATTTATTTATTTATTAATATGTACTACTTTTATGAAACATCTCTTTTCTTAGATTTTCTAAATTCTAATAATTTTTACTAAATTAAATCCTCATAGGGTCCGAGACCATTTGATCATGGAAAATATTATTTTTTTTACATTAGAATTTTCGTGTGTATTTTTAAGCAGTTAAATATTGAAATTAAATGAATTATTGATTGCTTTTAGCCTTTTCCTCTAATGAATATCTTAACCCTTTTGCCTAATCATAAAAATAGGATATTGTTCGTGTTATCTATGATTCAAAATGACTTAATATTTCATTAAACCATCAAATCTGGCTCCTGATCAACAAAGAAAGTTAATATAGCGATACGATTTTCATTGATCATTAGTATATATGTTGCTGCCAAGACATTTATAAACTTGAAGAGGGAGAACTGAAATGAATGACTTGAACATCCAGCAAAACTAATGATGTACCAAATGGTAACATGGATCATGGTGAAGTTGCATTTGTTAAATCAACATTTTCTAATTTCCTTACCCAGCTACTGGGTTATTGAGTGGCATTAGGATTACGACATTCAAGACTTCTATTCGAGCTATTTTATTTACTTGAATGAATGCTTGATTTTAAAGCTGAAACTATCTTCTAAAATATAATTACTTGGTAATATGGGGTGAGCGATAGACTTACCTCCACGTAGTGCATCCTGGGCAACGTATACTCATACGACAAAAAAGTCTATTAACCGACAGTTGACTTCTGACTTCAAACTACCATGACCCCACTGTATGTCATATCCGACTATTTCCACAGATCTCACCTCACCTTTTTTCTACCTTTGTGTCTGTCTCTTTTACATCTTTGAAACACTCTACTGTCCCCCCCCCCGTCTTGACTTTTTCACTTTGATGTTCCTTCCCCTCTGTGAAGCCTGAGGTCAAGTGAAGGGCTAATGATAACTATCAAAACGCCTGCCATTTGGTATAAATAAATATTTGGTAATATTTATTGATCTTTTATCGATGCATTAGCAATTTAAAAAAATATTTAATTAATAGTAGCAAAAGAGAAAGAGCTCTTTGCATAGTAACATATAATATTGTCAAAATTTAACCCCCCCCCCAC